GAGTGGGAATTATTGGGAGCTGTTGGAGAATGGAATCCAAAGCTGGAGCATAATAGGACAACCTTTGGGAATATCCGAGTGGCGTCCGTGTTTTTAGAAAAGATCAAGGAAGCTCAAATTAAGGATCCGACAATTCAAAGATGGGTGGAAAAGGTGAAGAAAGGAGAAATACCCAATTTTAATTTGAGCCCTGAAGGGATTTTATGATTTCGAAATCGAATAGTGATGCCCGATGAGGAAACTTTGAGAAGGGAGATTCTGGAGGAAGCTCGTCGATCTAAGTATACAATTCATCCAGGAAGTAACAAGATGTATCATGACTTGCGACGATTGTACTGGTGGGACAGGATGAAGAGAGAGATAGCTCAGTACGTACAAACCTGTATAGTGTGCCAGCAAGTTAAGGCTGAGCACCAGAAGCCTTCGGGACTACTGCAACCTTTGGAGATTCCTGAATGGAAATGGGAACATATCACCATGGATTTCGTTTCTGGACTACCTAGAACTCAAAAAGGACATGATGCCGTTTGGGTGATCGTTGATCGATTGACCAAGTCGGCTCATTTCCTACCTGTGAATATGAAGTATTCCATGGATAAGTTAGCTCGGGTATATTAGGAAGAGATTGTGAGGTTACATGGAGTGCCCGTGAGCATCGTTTCTGACCGAGACCCTCGTTTTGTGTCTAGGTTTTGGCAAAAGTTTCAGGAAACTCTGGGGACGAAGCTGAATTTGAGTACTACTTATCACCCTCAGACGGATGGACAATCAGAGCGAACGATTCAGACTCTCGAAGATATGTTACGAACGAGTATTCTAGATTTCGGGGGTAATTGGGGACAGCACATGACGTTAGTAGAGTTCGCCTATAATAACAGCTACCATTCATCAATCCAAATAGCACCGTACGAAGCCCTTTACGGGCGAAAGTGCCGTTCACCGATATACTGGGATGAAGTAGGAGAAAAGAAGATCATAGACCCTACCATTATTCCGTGGATGGAGGATGCCCAAGAAAAGATCAGGGTAATCCGTCAAAGACTCCAGACAGCCCAAAGTCGCCAGAAGAGCTACGCTGATAATCGAAGGAAAGATCTGGAGTTTGAAGTAGGAGACCAAGTATTCTTGAAGATTACCCCGTTGCGGAGTGTCACTGCTGGCAAAGGAAAGAAACTCCAACCTAGATTCGTGGGACCGTTTCCGATCCTACAACGGGTTGGAAAAGTAGCATACCGACTTGAACTACCGCCGAGCTTGTCACGGATTCATGATGTATTTCATGTGTCGATGCTCAAAAAGTACTACCCTGATCCATCTCACATTATCCAGTCGGAAGAGATTGAAATTGATGAGGCCCTTACTTACAAAGAAAAACCTGTGCAAGTGCTGGATAGGAAAGTCAAGGAATTGAGGAATAAGCAAATTCCACTGGTGAAAGTTCTGTGGAAGAATCACGGAGTCGAGGAGGCAACCTGGGAGATGGAGAATGAGATGAAAACAAAATATCCAGAACTGTTTAGTGATTCAGGTGAGAAATTTCGAGGACGAAATTCTTTAAGGGGGAGAGAGTGTGAGATCCCAAAAATTTTCTTATTTTTCCGGCTTTTATTTTGGGCTTTTGGGCCTAATTTTAGGGTTTTCTTTTATCTGTGGGTTTTCTGGGGAATTTTATGAGAAAATATGAATTTTGCATCATTTCTGGGTTTAAGTCAATTTCTGTGCTATTAAGGGTGTACAGTGGTTGCGGGACCCACTAAGACGATCGGTACGGTAAAATGTAGCTTTGGAAATTTTATATACGGAAGCTTTGTGACCTAGTGTTATGAGTTAATTTGAGGTTAGTTGGATTAATTAAGTGTTGTAAGACAAAAGGAAGGGATAAGCTTGAAGGCCACATGTCACATTCTCATTGGAGGTTGAATTTTGACTAAGTCTTACACCTTTACTAAATCAAAATTTTATCAAATTTCTTCTTCATTTTGCATCTTCTTGGCCGGCCACTCTAGAGAGAAAAAAGAAAGAAAGCTCTTCAACTCATGCTTCATTTTCTTGCCCAAATCTTGGAATTTAACCATTAATCTTCCAAATCTCTCCATAAAACCTTCTTGCTAGGAGTGTTTGAAGTGCTTGGTGGGTTTTGTTTAAAAGGGAGAGCTCTCATCTACCTTGTATCAAGAAATTGTAAGGTGAGTAAATATGGAATTGTTTCCTTATTGGATGTAAGATGAAATTGATAAGTGTTAGTGGTTAAAGATGCAATTTTGTGGGTTATTTCATGACTTATAGATGAGTTGTGATAATTTTCTATTTATTGGGGAATTTTCTGTTTTATATGGTTTCTCATGATTAACTAGGATGTGGTGGTATTATATTGAATGATTTAGAGCCTATTTGTGGTGATGGTGGTTAATTGTGGAAAATTTCAGCATTTGTGAGAAAATTTCGGTTTTAGGGTTTGATGAAATTGGGGCTTTTCCATGTATGGTTTTCATGCTATCAATTGATGTGTATATGGTTGTATTGTGATTCAAATGGGGTGAATGGACTAGTTTAAGGACCATAAGTGTAATGGTACAAGTTGGGTGTTGTTCATTAGGTTGGAAATGTGAAGAAATTAAGGGGAAATGCCGCCCAATTGGTTGTAGATATGGGTGGTCTTGAATTGAGAAGGATTTGAATAGAATGGATGAATTGGGGAGTTTGTTCACATTCCACACTTTCGTTGCTCCATTTTGTATTTTCGAGTAACTTGTATTAGTAGGTTAAACCTATACGTTGACTCGTGTATGAGTCTCAAATATGTTTTCTTGCTTGTCTTAGGTCGAACCGGTGGACCGGGACCTACTCCTGACTCGAACGTGTGATTTACTTGATTACTTGGTGAGTGTATCATTAAATGGTTGAATGCTCTTGAGATGTGACTTGTATGGTTTGAATAGGTCAAGGGTATACTTTATCGCTCTTGACCACTTACTGGCATTATTGTTACTGTTGGACTGTGAAATTTCATGTACATATGTGGTTTGATATTTGCTAGGGCTATGCCCTATTATTACTGTGAAAACTGAGCTCTTTCCCTTAGGCCGTTACTCGAGTCGTGCCGGCTAGGGCTTGGGCGAGTCGTTAACGTGCCTTTGGGTCACTGATAGTCGAGTGGAGTATTCACTCCTCGATCTTATGGTATACTCGAGTATTGCCTTTTGTAACTGTGAGGTGTGCGGGCCCGGTAAGGGGGTGATTGGTGGAAGGAAATGGCGTAAAGAGGTGCCTACGGTTCTTGGTTTTCTCTAATGGTTGACAGAGTGTCAACGGGTATGATCAAGTATGGCAATCGGAAAACGGCCCTTGAGGGCCGATTGTATCCTTTCATATATGGTTGATTGAATGAAGGCATTTGTGCTTATGTGTTTGATGGCCTGTATCACTTATTTGTGAATTTGGTACCTCACGAGCGTAAGCTCACCCCCGTTATTTTGTTTTCCTTACAGGAGCAATGTTGGACCCCAAGTTTTGAAATGAGTAGAGCTAGTTAAGTAGCTAGTTTTGATTAGCTCCTCGGAAACTTGAACTTTGATGTATATGAACTCAAGTGCTTTTGGAAGTGTATAATTGAACCTTTCTTATGTATATATGGCATGTACATATGGCTTTATCAAGTCTTGGATAAACTGCATTATATATTTGATATGTTTATGTGAGTATCGGCTGCGATCGAAGGAAGAAAGAATTTTTGGCAAAAACACTGCCCAGAATCTGGCCAAGAATCCGGCCAGGTTCTGGCCGGATACAAGGCCGGATATGCAGGGGAAGGAAAAAAAAAATTTTGAAAATCTGGTTTTGGCTACTGGCCGCAATCCGGCTGGAGCAATCCGGCCAATTTCTGGCCGGATTACCGGCCGGATTGCCAGGGGAATTTCGACCCCTTTCGGGGTTGGCCTCTGCCTCCTATCCGGCCAAGAATCCGGCCGAATATCAGGCCAGATTCTGGCCGGATAGTGACGTGGCCGATTACTGTTCATCCGCGGCAAATTTTCGTTTTTCGTTTTCTTGTCCGTTTGAAGTGCTCGAGCGCTATACGTTCTTGTGTGGTGATATTATGGTTATAAGAGTATCTTAAAGGGATAAATAATTCATTTTGTCAAGTTTTCCTTTTATTAATCAACTGCGATTTGATTGCTTGCGACCCGTAGTCCCGGCGAGAGCTGGGCAGGCAGTCCGTTGACCCCTCTGGTTCGCCTTAGGGGAAGATGGGATCGTCACAGAATCAAACTCGAAATTTTACACCGTAAGAAGATATATCAGTCTAGTTTCAAATGCAACAAACGGAATTCAATTCCGACTTTCCTATACGAAGTGATAGCCAATTTTCCAAAGCTGCGCAGAGCCTCCAGCGCAATTTTCTAGATTTTCTAACAACTTGAGATTATGAAACTTTTCTGAACAAAATTCACTCCCTCGACTCAAATTCAACCATTAAAGCAACTAAGAATCAAAGGTAAGTGAGTTCACAAATGGGTTATAAAGACAAGTAAAATTTCGGGGTCTCACACTCTCTCCCACTAAAAGAAATTTCGTCCTCGAAATTTTCTTACCATCAGGATCTATTCAAATCTTAGTTAAACGGAGAAATACGGGAATCATACCTTCTACGCCGTCAAACGAGTCAGGGACCCGATGTTGCTTTAGGGTATACACCCAAGCCGGTACTTTCGATCCAGTCCCTTCCCCTTTCGACTGTCTAATATTAGTCTTGGTTGGTTGCTGGGTCCCTTTCCCTTCTCGCAATCGAACTGGACAGTTACCAATCCGATGATTGGCCCTCCCACAGCGTAGGCATTTTCTTTCTTTCTTCTAGCAATTATTCTCCGTGTGATTTGGCATCCCGCAAAATTCACAGGGACCATGGGATGTAGAAGACGAGCCTCCCCGTGAGGCACCACTTTGTTCTTGCCCAACCTGACCACCTTTGCCCTGGGCTCCTCTTGACTCCCTGGGAAGTCTTACTCCTCCAGTTCCCCTTCCAAGTCTGGGCTACTTTCATCCTCTTTTCCCAAACTACTTCCAGACCATCCCCATTTCTTCGTTTGGAAAGTAACTTGGAATCTCGCATTTTCAACTCGTAGAGCTTTCTCTATAGCATCACTAAATGTATTGATCTGGGCTACAGCTAAATCTTTTTGAATCTCAACGTTCAATCTTAGAATAAATTGCTGTATCCTTCTCTGCTCAGTCACAATAAGTTCGGGAGCGAATTTAGACAACCTGGTAAAGTGGCTCTCGTGTTCTGCCACGGTTTGAGCTCCCTGACGAAGCCTAATGAACCCATTCCCCTTTTGCTCTTGAACTGGAGGAGGAAAACACTTGGCATTGAACTCTCTCATGAAATTGACCCAAGTCCTCGGTGTCTGCTCTCTATCCCATTTCATTCTGATCACATTCCACCAAGAACAGGTTGCTCCCTCCAACTGGAAGATAGCAAATGTTACATGTCTCTCTTCAGTATAATGCAGAGCAGTGAAAATGTCAATCATCTTCTCCAACCACTTTTCGGCCACATCTGGGTCCGGTCCTCCAATAAATTGTGGTGGAAATAACTTTTGAAATCGTTCGAGAGCCCTACCCTCACCCTCTACATGGTTTCTAAGGTTTGCAGGTTGAGGAATAGGGTTTTGGCCCTGACGAAACTTTAGCATATATATCACACAGTCAAAAATCAAATAGTTAACACAACCTTAACATATATATCACACAGTAACAGTGAGATACAAACAAAAGTAATCCCATGAAAGTAGGGGGTCATTCAAAAGTACAATATACAAACTAGGCCAGGAGTACAAAAGTATCTGAGCTTTCCTAACTGCCCTCACATGGAATCAAACATGGCTTATAGGAGGTCTAACTTAGTTCCCAATCGAGCTAACGAACTCTCTCCCATGGGTAGAACTAGGTATGTCTCCCTCTCTAGGAGCTCCGTCCGTAACCAACAAGAATAACGCAGTTTATATCATAGACAGGGTTAATCATACACAATGATACCTAAACACATCACACGAAGTTCCGTAGAATCAAATTTCTAGTTCGCCCAAGTCATTTCTAACCTAGGCTCTCATCTATTTAGTATTCGGGCACAAGAATCCAAAATAAGATCATTCACAACTCGAGCTGGCCAGGCTCAAGAGGAAATCAACCATTTTTAAGATTCCTACTGTAGCGACCCCGTTTTCCCCTAAGGCGAACCAGAGGGGTCAACGGGCTGCCTGCCCAGCTCTCGCCAGGACTCCGTCAATCACTACAGTTCTCCAAAAATTACAATATAAATCTCAAATATATATATATCAAATTCTCCAAGAACTACATATCACAAACGCTGCGGAATGTACACGTACGTCCATTCAAGTCCAATCATTCATTACAAACCATATCCACAAGCTATTACACAAGAGGCGATCCAAATTCAAACCGTACAAGGTGTAATTCCATCCATTTCAATTCCCCTAGCCCAACAATTACACAACCGATTCCAAATGTAAACTATACAAATTACAAGCCATCCAGGTACACAGATAACGTAATACAGCTCTTCCTTTGTTCGAAACCGGTACTCGCATAAACACATCAAACACGTAATGCAGTTTATCCAAGACTTGATAAGGACATATATATATATGTCGTATATATACATGAGAAAGGTTCAATTGTACACTTCAAAAGTACTTGAATTCATTTACATCAAAATTCCAAATTTTCGAGGAGCAACTCAAAACTAGCTACATAACTAACTCAACTCATTTCAAAACTTGAGTCCAACAGTGTCCCTGTAAGGAAAACAAACAACGGGGGTGAGCTTGCGCTCGTGAGGTACCAAATGCACAATTACATGATACGGCCAAATAACATATATGCATAAGTGCCTTCGTTCAAACATCCATTTATAAAAGGATACATTCGGCCCTCAAGGGCCGTTTCCGATGTCCATACTTGATCGTACTCGTTGACACTCCGTCAACCATCGAGGATAACCAAGAACCGTAGACACCTCTTCTCACCATTTCCTTCCACCATTCACCCCCTAATCGGGCCCGCACACCTCATAGTTTCAAAGGGTAATACTCGAGTATACCGCAAGGTCGAGGAGTTAACACTCCACTCGCCTATCAGTGACCCGAAGACTCGTTAACGAATCGCCCAAGCCCTTGCCGGCTCGACTCGAATAACGGTCCAAGGGAATGAGCTCAGTTTTCACAGTAATAATAGGGCATTGCCCTAACAGATATCAAATCACATATTCATGAAATTTCACAGTCCAACAGTAACAATAGTGCAAGCAAGTGGTCAAGAGCGGTAAAGTACACTCTCGACCTATTCAAGTCATATAACAAGTACATTGAACCATTTAATGATACACTCACCAAGCACGGCTCACGAAGCTTATTCGGCAAACCTCATTATCTCGATCAAGTTGGAATCCTAAAACCAAATATCAAGTCAAGCAAAGGAAAATTCTAACATTAACAAGTTTCTATTGCCTTTTGGCATTTTAAAGCTACACCCATCCGATCGAAACAAATCTTATGGCGTTACAAAGCTAAAACATATGTCAACATTTCTTATGAAGATTTCCAAGGCCAAATCACACATTTTCAGGATCAAATATCGAAATCTCGGAGAGGGCAGAAAACTGTCCGCAAAATAGGGTCTATGAACAGTCAAGGGTATTTCAGTCAATTAACAAGCTACAGTACTCCAATCACTCTGAAATTTTGCAGGTAACTAGCTAACTCATATATCTACAAGTTTCATGTTTTGAGCAAGAGCCGAATCAGTCTTTAACATGGTCAAATGTACAGTACGAAAACAGGGCAGAAATAATACAACAAAAGCTGAAATTACACTTCCAAGCCAATCTTTGCAAATAACCATCACTAACCACAATTAAGGGCTAGAAATCCTCACTTAACATGAGACTAGCCTATACTTGTCATGTACATGCCAAAACAAGGATGAATGAACTCAAACAAAGCTTAGAAATGTCACCATTATGGACTCTTAACAACCCAACATCCAATTTACAAGAATTTCCATAAATTTAATCAAGATCACACAACTTCAAATCAATCATATACTCTCCAAAAATGGGACAGCATTACCCCTTAATTTAACACATTTCCAACCTACCATTCAATACCAAATATATATCAATTCAACTCCAATTGTACATACAATTTATAGTCTAGTAAATATACTCAATTAGGGCCACAATGCCCCTCAAGCAAGCCAACTAGATGCTTATAAGCCAACTATTAGAATTTTCCCCAAATCGAAACCCTAGAAACCGGAATTCACACCACAAGCGTAAATTTTCCGCAATTGATCACAATTAACGCATAAAAGCTTCAATTAACACCATTTCAATCCATCAATCCAATCCTAATCATAACTTTCATATAAAATCAGGAAAATACCCAATAAATCAACAATTCACCATCAATTCCTTCAACCCATGAAATACTTCACAATATAACACATTTAATCACCACAAATCATTAATTAACCAATATTAGACCAAAAGGAAACTTGTTTATGCCACTTACCTCAAATTCAAGAAAACCATCAACATAGAGCCTCCCCTCCAAAAACAATCCATCAAAAGCTCTAAGCCACCATAGCAAGCCCATGTGTGAATTATTGTCCAAAACCACCGGTGAAATCACAAGATTTAAGAAGAAATCAAAACTAGAAAATGGAAGAGTTTTCTCTTTCTCAAGGCCTCGGTTGAGCAACAGCAGAAAATGAAGACAAAAGACAGCAAAACATGATATTTAATGAAGGAAACAGCCGGTCAAAGCTGCTGACCGGCTGTGCCACGTCAGAATCCGGCCGGAATCTGGCCGGAATTCCGGCCGGATTCAAGGCAGAGAGCTCCTCAATTTTTTTTCAAAACGGCTGGGCAATCCGGCCAGCTATCCGGCCAGAAACTGGCCGGATTTCCGGCCGGATTCGGCCCCCTTCACATTTCCAAAAATTTTTCTTCTTTTCCAAGTTCAAAAATGGTACTATTCCGCTCGTTCAACAAAAACTTGTATAAAAGGAAACCCTCCTTTGGCCGGGGCGTCACACCTACCCAACATACATACCTAATATCTGAAACAATGGACATTTGTTCCATACTTAACAAGCCAATCCCCGGAGTCCGAGAACCCTCTCCCAGCACGAGGTCGATAAGAGCTCTGATACTACCTGTGACGGCCCTGCCTTCTCTTAAGGCAAGCCAAAGGGTTGGCAGACCGCCTGCCGAGCTCTCGTCAGGACCACAAATCTGAAACATACTTAAACCCGACATGACTTGCAAAAGAACTTCGAGAATACGAACAATCGGAAATGACAATACGCTAAACGAAATGAGTAAACGCTCCAACGAAAAGCGAAAAGGACTGCGGCCACATCAGAATCCAGTCAAATTTTTTCCTTCTAGTTCAAGTTTCGCACTCGCTTGATTTTTCCAATGGATACAAGAAAGTTCACCAAAACTATTAAAATGTACTATTTCAACCACATAAATCGAAGTGACATGTTTGAACACTTATATACATACATTAAAAACTTCAATTTATCAACTAGAAATACAAGCTCGGATATCCCTAATGTTTCCAGCACAAATTAGGGTTTACCAAAACAGAGGAGCTTAATCAAAAACATAACTATAACTCGCTCTACTCCCTTCTTCAAAATCACGGATCAAAATGTTGTTCCCTATAAGGAAAACAAAAGGTAGCTGGAAGGGGTGAGCTTATGCTCAATGAGGTACCAAATGTATTAGCAGTCAAGAATCATGGAACTTCACTCTCAATTAGTCACATATGCACACCAAATAAAGAAATGAATAAACACCTCAAATAGAAAGGATACCGGTGGCTCTCAGGAGCCAAAATTTCCCTTGCAGTACTTGATCCCAACTCGTTGACATTCCATCAATGTTCGAAGAAACAAACATGACCGTAGACCCCACTTGACATCAAATTCCATCCCCGAACATACCCCTTGCCGAGCTCGAACACCACATACAGAACAGAGGTGGTAATACTCGAGTATACCGGAAATCCAGAGTTTCCAATACCTAAAGATTTTCCAGAAATAGACTACCATGGCTCGTTATGTAATCGACCAGACCCTTGCCAGATCGACTCGAGTAACTAGCCACAGGATTTGAGGTCAGAGGTCACAAAAGGGTCGTTGGATACAAGCCTTCAAACGGCGTCAGAACAGACACAGATAACAGATTCAAATTCACACAGTAAACAATCACACAGGCAAGAGAACGAGTGTGATATGGTACACCCTCGTCTTATTCAGAATAAACAAAGTTCATAGTCATTCAAGTCGTAGATTTCAAGTACAATTAAACCAATTAAGCAACAATTCATGGGAATGGTACACTCACCTGTTCAAGCAAAGATAACTTCAAAAGTTTTCTCCCAAAGGATGGCTTTGATCACTGTCACATCCTAATAACAACCAAGGTAAACAATTATGATTTTCCCATCCACAAACCCAGGAAATGGAATGCACAAATGAGGCTCGGCTACAAGTTGTGTGCCTAGTCAAGTTAACTACTAGTACAAAAAAATAACAATGTGACGTTGTAGTAAAAAGGTAGCAGTTGGTCTTAAAAACATGAACATCCCTAAAACCTTTTGCTCAAGTCGCGAGTACATCCAACTAGCCCTCGAGTGAAAATTTGGGCAGCATGCCCTTTGTATTTAGCTATTTTACAGCCATTTATGACTTTATTATTTTTCTCAATTCTGCCCCAAAGTCACACATAAATAATCTTAACACAATAGCCTTTCACTAGGCTCAATGTCATTCAATTACAAGACAATTCTAGCAATGTGTCCGGAAACTAATTTTAAAGACAAATAAAGAAACAGCAGGTTTGATGTCTCTTGGCGTTTTGATCACAACCGAAGGTACGCTTATCGGATTGGGGTATTATTTATGTTGTTTTGAAGCCAAGACAGATAACTACAAGTCTTATGAAGACATCGACAACCAATTTATTCATTTTCAAGGTCAAAATGTGCAATCTCAGAGAAAACAGAACATTGCCTGCACAATAGGCTATTTCGCAGTCAGGAGTAATTTTATCATTTCATATGATGCAGTACTCCGATTGAGTTGAAATTTTACAGGCAGCTATATAATCCATTCTCTACAAATTTCATGTTTTTATTTCATCATGATTCGGCCTCTAACATGGACAAACATACAAGTCAGTAACAGGATAGATTGGTCTCAAATTTGTGAAATTTAATGATTCAATGCTTGATATTCACATTTATATCTTAAATCACTACCCTAAACCCCTATCCAAGCTTATCAACATCATATACTAGATAAAAACAATAATCACAACTGAAAATATCAAACCCTATCCAAACATTTCAACATATCATTCAAAGCCAACTAATTAACCATCATAAGCCAAGAATATGAGTTTCTATCCAAACTTAAACAAGATTAAGGAAGAGAAAAAGAAAGGCAACCATGATACCTTCCAATAATTGCTTGTAAGTGACAGCCACATCCCTTTCTTACAAAACTTTTACCACACAAAGCTTTCCAACCTCCAAAAGAAAAGTTTAATCGGTTTAGATTTTTTGTTCCAACTCAAACAAGCAAGATCAAGGTGGACACGGAAGGTTTCTCCTCTCTTGTTTTTCTCTCCAAGAATTTTGGCCAACATGAAGGAAAATGGGCCAAGAAGAAAGATAAGAAGGAAGGCAAATCATTTGGTCAAATTTCCATGGATTGCCAACAAGTGTCAACTCAAGATGGCTTCTTATTTTTTTTCTTTTTTTCCTTTTGTTTTTGTCCAAAATTTCAGCTACTTTAGGAGATATTTTAGAGGTGATTTTACTCAATTAATAACATGGAGATTAAGGCAATAAAGTAGTGTTCAAATGGTGCACTCAAACGATAGTAAGCGGTGCACGTCGGTTCAAGCCATTTTTCCTTAATTCGCGCGTACTTGTGTTTTTGCTTATGGTTCACTCACTTATTTTTATCACTTCTAATCACACACTTTTTCTTATCTAAAACTCACTCTTAACCATGAAATTTACTGCACACGCCTCCCCAAGTGATCACATAGCCAAAATGCACCAAAAACACACCAAAAACCCTAGTATGCACAAAACCCCCAAACTTATGCCCTTCCTTTAGAAAAATCATAACTTGAGTTATAAATATAAAAAATTCATACAACATGGCCTGTTAAAAACTAGACTTCAAATACTAATAATCTTTAAAAGACAACTCAAAGAGATTCAGTTCATAAGTTGGTCCAAATTGAGCCATAAGCTACTACAACATTTCTATTGTTACTTGTGCATGGCAAAATTTTCAATCAAATTTGCCAATTTTTTGGAATTTATAGAGGTTGAATCAAACTCTAAATTTTACACCGTAGGAAGATCTATCAGTCTAGTTTCAAATGCAATAAATGGAACTCAATTCAGACTTTCCTATACAAAGTTATGGCCAATTTTCCAAAGCTGCGCAGAGCCTCCAGCGAAAATTTCTAAATTTTCTAACAACTTGAGATTATGAAACTTTTCCTAATAAAATTCACTCCTTTGACTCAAATTCAACCATTAAAGCAACAAAGAATCAGAGGTAAGGGAGTTCACATAATGGTTATAAAGACAAGTAAAATTTCAGCGTCTCACACTTTCTCCCTAAAAAAAATTTCAGCGTCTCACACTTTCTTACCATCAGGATTTATTCAAATCTTAGTTAAACGGTGAAATACGGGAATCGTACCTTCTACGTCGTCAAACGAGTCAGGGACCCGATGTTGCTCTAAGGAATACACCCAAGCCGGTACTTTCGATCTAGTCCCTTCCCCTTTCGACTGTCTAAGGTTAGTCTTGGTTCGTTGTTGGGTCCCTTTCTTTTCTCGCAATTGAATTGGGCAGTTTGCAATCCGATGATTAGCCCTCCCACAGCGTAGGCATTTTCCCTCTTTATTCCAACAATTATCCTCCGTGTGATTTGGCACCCTGCAAAATTCGTAGAGGCCATGGGATGTAGAAAACGAGCCTCTCCGTAAGGCACCACTTTGTTCTAACCAAACCTGACCACCTTTGGCCTGGGCTTCCCTTGACTCTCTGGGAAGTCTTACTTCTCCAGTTCCCCTTCTAGACTTAGGAGGGGTACTTTCATCCTCTTGTCCCGAACTACTTCTAGGCCATCCCCGTTTCTTTGCTTGGAAGGTTCTAACTTGAAATCTTGTATTTTCAACTTGTAGGGCCTTCTCTATAGCATTACTAAATGTATTGATCTGGGCTACTGCTAAATCTTTTTGAATCTCAACATTCAATCTCTGAATAAATCACCGTATCCTTCTCTGCTCAGTCACAATAAGTTCGGGAGCAGACTTAGACAACCTAGTAAAATGGCTCTCGTATTCTGCCATGGTTTGAGCTGCCTGGCGAAGCCTAATGAACCCATCCCCCTTGTGCTCTTGAACTATTGGAGGAAAACACTTGGCATTGAACTCTCTCATGAAATTGACACAAGTCATTGGTGTTTGCTCTCTCTCCCATTTCATTCTGATCACATTCCACCAAGAACAGGCTGCTCCCTCCGACTGGAAGACAGCAAATGTTGCATG